TAATAGTGTTCACTAAATATTTACAATGTGTATATGTAAAACAATAATCAACCTAGCAGTGAGCTTCAAACGTGTCATATGGATTATTTTTTGTGCAGATCAAATCAAGATTATATACTAGATATATGAACATGCTTCTTACTGAGGTTCTTTACAAGAGGAGAAAGCATCCCATTGGTGTTTGGGTAAATCCCCTGGTACATACTACTTCCTCTCATGATATCCATAGGTGCCTGGTGGCCAAGGTGTGGAAAAAAATAGCAAGTGCAGAAGGAAAACAGTGGCCAGCTGGGAGCATGGTTTGGAACTTGCAATAATAGTTGTACAGATATGAGTGAGCAGTAGTATAAGTGACATGTGGTTGTATATAAATAGAAAATATGCATTTCTTTCCTTCCCTTCATAGTTTCTGTTCCTAAGGCTGACAAGTTTGAACAGTTTCTATAAAGTAGAAACTTGAAATACAGTTACTGTTTCACCCAGTAATGACTCCCTACTCTTTTTCATAGGAGCCAAAGAAAAATTTAGGAAAAAAAATACTGGGTACTGCATTTTGAAAAGCACTGTTTATGGCTTATACTAAAAATAATGCCTCTACTAATGTTGCTTGTCGATAAAAATCTATCCTCAAGTGATTTCTAGTTCCTTTCTGCTCTGGGAAGGATTCTCTAGGGAAAGTGTAATTGCTTTATTGATTGAATAGTACAAGGTTTTAAATAGCTGTATGAGTAGTTGACTTCTATGTGAAGTTACAAAAGTTTCTCTTCAACCTGATTAATTCAGCAAGCAGAGCATGAAAGTGTTTCTGCACAACCACAGAAATTCAGAGGTCACACGACAAGATCACCAAGTCATTCAGTTTTGCAAGACTCATTGCATTGTCCTAGCTGTACAATGGTAGTACTTAAGGTTTGCTATATCGGAGGGGGGGGGGCGGGGAAACAACAAAAAAAAAAAAAAAAAAAAAAAAGAGTAAAATGTTAGAAAACCTTACCCATTATTTTTGTATATGAAGATTTTACACTAAATTGGAAAAACAAAACCACAACCTCACTTTTTATCTGCTTTCATTCCAACTGCATGCATAAAAAGATGCATGTGGTGCAATTTGGCCCTTTGGTGACTAAAGGCATATACTGTACTGAATTACAAAGTACACTTCTAGTGTATCTTTGAAAGGAAATATATTCTCAGTTTACAGTGAGCTTGACTCTGAAGAGGAAAAAATGATTTTTTCTTTTTGTCAGTAAGTGAGGAAAATATATAACTTGTGTAAGATTGCCAAGGCCTGGGGGGGGGGGGGCGAAAACATGAGGAAAAAAAAAAAAGTACCACAAAAAACAGCAAATACGTACTTTACAGCTGCAAAAATAACTGTCTGTGAAGTAATCTCTGGAAGATTACTTTTGGTTAGCATTTCTTTATGTAATGTTAGAGCCAAAAGAAAATCATAAGTGGAAAAAAAAAAAAAAAAAAAAAACATATTTCAATGTGTATATGGCCTGGACCTTTGATGTTCTCCTAAGGCATTCTTTTATGCCTTCGTTAATTTGTGAAAGGTATTCCTTTACAGGCGAGGTACTATGGTTGAAAACCTGATCTAAGAAAAACAAGTGTAGAAATTACTGAAGTAATTTGCTTTTGTTATGCAAGTACTGAACTTCTTTGTTGCTTCAAAGGTGCTAAAAGCCATCTGAGGAGCTATCTGATAGGCTTTCCTTTGAGATTTGAGTCCTCTCAGACTTGAAAAGCACTATGGTTTGTTAAGATCACTTGATCATCTAAAACAAACAAACAGGAAAAAAAAAGTGTCCATACGTTTTATATTTTATATTTCTCTTAACTTTATCTGAGTGTCGCAATCTTCAACAAGAATAGTTTCTTACCCGCGGTCAAACCAACCCTTTTATTGCATTGGAATAAAACTGTTGTGGAGCAAATAAACTTCCTTGCACTTCCGTGCTTAGTTATTGGGAACTGAATATATGGTATTAAGCAACTTCATGCAATTTCAGTTTCAATTTCTTTTATGTTTTTTAGTTTGGAAATGTGGAAAAAAAATACTCCCTTTCTAAAAATGTATTTAATCAAAATGTAACCTTGTTTTTTCAAGATCAGTTGTTGTTTTCAAGAAAAAAAAATCAGTTTTTCTAATCCATAGAAAGAAAATATCCATGTTCCTTGCTTTTTGTAGGGAGAGATGTTTTGTTCTTAAGTGGAGCATGCTTTCTCATGTTTCTGCGAACCAAACAAGAGCTTCATTTTGTTTGTTTTGAATATTTGTTTGAAATGAAGTTTCTAGACTAGATCTATTTGAGACAACATCACATGTTCATCAGACAGCATGGAGATCCTTTCCAACCTAATTTTCTCATAGTTTCTTCATTAAATCCTAACACTCCACTGTATTACTTTATATTGTTAAAGCGGTGGAGCTATTTTATCCCTTACTAGCCTTTTGAAGGGCATCAGTATCTCCTGGTTCCAGGATGTTAAGAAAGTTTAATGTTCAGATTGAAGCCTTTGAAATCTGAGTGTGTCAGAATGGAAGAGGATTGGTAACTTCAAATGATGGATCAGCAGTATACTTCAATCTTCTTGGCGCAAAAGTGTTCTTATATCCAGACATTATATCCTGTTTCTAGAACAGTGGTATAATATTTTGTATTAATTGCTTTTGGTTCCCATCTACATTTCTGTTAGCAGTCTTGAACTTTCCTGTTAAATATTTGTTGTGATTAATCAAGCTATACACATATATCTGTTATTATAGCCATGGAATTATGGGTTATGAGAGCATAAGGTTGGCATATTTGAGGAAAAAAACAATTAAAATAGTCCTCCTGATAGCATTATTTGCCAAAAATCTCCCCAAACAGAGTCAAAGAACTGTAAGTCCTTTGTGCTCCTCAACTTCGTTTTAAATTATGCAGCATTGCAGAAAGTGTGAGATTAACTTGTTCCAAGTGACCCATTGGCCCTTAGGACCCTTCTACAGTATCTGAATGGCATGTAAGATCTTTAAGGGAGAAACAGTTTGATGACAAGGCCACCAACAGGTGCCACCAACCTCCACTTTCAATGCTAAACCAGGCTGCCCAGGGCCCCATCCAACCTGGCCTTGAACACCTTCAAGGATGGGGCATCCACAACCTTTCTGCGCAGCCTGTTCCAGTACCTCACCACTCTCTGGGTAAAGAATTTTCCCCCTGATGTCTGACCTAAATCTCCCCTCCCTCAACTTAAAACCATTTCCCTTCATCCTACACATATCAACCCTTTCAAAGAGTCGATTCCACTCCCCTCTGTAGGCTCCCTTTAGGTACTGAAAGGCTGCAACGAGGTCACCCTGCAGCCTTCTTTTTTCCAGGCTGAACAAGCCCGGCTTCCTCTTCATTGGGGAGGTGCTCCAGTCCCCTGATCATCCTAGTGGCCCTCCTCTGGACCCTCTCCAACAGCTCCCTGTCTTTTTTGTACTGCGGGCTCCACACTTGGACGCAGTATTCCAGATGGGGCCTCACAAGAGCAGAGTAGAGGGGGACAATCACCTCCCTGTCCCTGCTGGCCACCCTTCTTTTGATGGACCCCAGGATACCATTGCCCTCCTTGAGCCGCAAGAGCACACTGTTGGCTCATATATACACATGTACATTGATAGTCATAACTATTGTATTTGTCCTTTTCTCTTAATAATTAGTTTTATCTCAACTCCCAATTTCTGCTTTTTCTTTTTTTTATTTTTAATTCTCTTTCCCATCTCCCTGTCAAGGGAGTAAGTGGGTGAAAGACTGTAGTGCTGAGCCACCTGCTCAGTTAAACCACAACAGCAGCATAGAAGCATCACTAACAACCAAGCCACTCTTTAATAATATATGCCCACGTGTCTGTGGTCAGTGGCTCAGGGGATGTACTCTTTGCTACAGGTTCTCTGCACTATTTAGTGTTAACGCAAAACTGATGTGGATAGCAAGAGTGATGGATAGCTTTGTCAAAATCCTAAGAGTTTTTTGGCAGTAATGTACTTTTTTTCTCACTATGTCCTTTGTTCAGTGCAAATGGTAACAGTAACAGCAGTGGAGAGGTCTAGACTGTTATATTTGTTATAATTTGAGTAATTTATTTTTAGATTAAACCAGTTGTCACTTAGTTGGCAAGGCTTAGGAAGACCATTATTCTGTTAAACTGGGTCTAGATGTAATGGTCTGATGAACACAGTATGATTTCTATTCTTCTAAAACAAATAATAATAATACAGATATAGACAACATTGATAGTAAATGAGTGTATGGTGCTAGAGTTACCTAGGTTTCGCCAAATGAGAAGAAAGAACAAATTTTAGTAACAAAGCCAAAATAAAAATATTTCCCTCTGTGAAAAGATTGAGCTCTTCCAAATGAGGATGTGGTCCTGGATCAGACTGAAGGATGACTCCCATGTATCAGGAAATAATTATCGTTTTGTTTTGTTTTCTCAAAATGAAAGAAGCCAAATTGTGAAGACTAGTTTGGCTAAGGCTGCACTGATGTTTGCCCACTTATAGCGTCTCCCAAGAACTGGAAAGTAACTACGATGTTCAGTTAGCCATAAATTTAGGGTGCAGTTTGTATGGTCAGTGGCCACTCTTTAACCCTAAACCTATGAGTAACTGTCTAACTGAGCACAAGACATTTTGTCTTCTTCAGCTGTGATAGGAGTCCCATATTTTCTCATGAGGCAGAAACTGTCAGGTGAAAGTAAGGCAGCTGTTCCCTGCAGGCGGTCAATCTTATGTCTGTCAGCCTTTTCCTCTGTCAGAGGCAGCTGTATGTGGGTTTTCTCTGTTACAGTTCGGTAGTACTAGAGACAATCCTTAGATGCTAGATGAAATTCATGAACTGAGCTCTTTGTTAGTATAAATAAAAATGACAACAGGGAACATTAAAAACCAAAACCAAAATATTTTGCTGTCCAGCTGGTGTACTGCTGAGTAATTTTTTAATTTATTTTCTTCATTTTTTCAGTTCTACGGGATGACTTCCGACAAAATCCATCAGATGTAATGGTAGCTGTGGGTGAACCTGCTGTGATGGAATGTCAGCCTCCAAGAGGTCACCCAGAACCCACTATATCATGGAAGAAAGATGGGACTCCTCTAGATGACAAAGACGAGAGAATTACAGTAAGTATAAGAAGGGCATTGTGTGAAGAATTTGATGGGTAAGATCAGCTAATCTAAAATTATTAGTCTCTTGATATGTGGGCCATGTTATACTTTCCAGGCTTCGTCCTTCCTTGCCTAAAAGGCAAAGTTAGTTTGCATTCAGCTTTGAATGCATTCTTTAGTCTCTCATGCTACTTTATTGTACACTATGCATTTGTTTGTTAAAAAGGGCCATGCAAAACTTGGGTTCATCTCTTCCTTAGAGAAATTAAACACTTGTGAATATGAAATTCATTATGTCTGTCACTGTCCTATAATTTTCTTCTTTTTTTATCCACTTAAAATTTCTGCAACCTGCATCTGCCTTCTTCAGCAGGAAAGAGGAAGTGCTAAGTGAGATTTTCTTTTGCAATTGTTTTGAAAAGAAACTGTGCAAACGAGCTGTACACTGTATTAGAAAGGATAAGAAAGCTTTTGGGATATTTCTTTACAGAGATGATGGCTTATCCTGTACTCTCAAATTAAGCTATTGTCCCAGTGAAATTGTTGTGTTCATTTGTAGCTGTAGCTTGCTAAATAGTGTACAATTACCCAAGATTATATAAAAAGCAGCTTCTCAAATCACAAAATTATCACTCTTAATTTTTGCTAAGAAAAACAATAAGCTAATGAGCATAAGTGGCTCACAGAAATTATAAGGAAAAGTGGAGTTCAGAAGTCATTTGTATGCTGGCAACTTGGTGGTCCAAAACATCTTTCCATATGGTAAGAAACTATCGTGTGAATTTACATACCATGTAGGATCCTGTTGGTATTTCAAGGATTATTAGTATATAAAACTAGATTGGAGGCATATACAATTTATATACCTCAAAGATACAATCAAATGAGGGAAGTTTTTAATGGAAGAACACTTAAACCACCAGCAACCTAAGTAAAAAATCAGCTTTGTTGCAAATTTAAATTGCCTGTTGCTTTGCTTGCTTTTTGCAAACAAGACAAAGCTTAGGCAGTTTGAACCTCAAGCATATGCGTACATTTAAATTTTAAAGTGCCCCATAGAACCTATACTGATTGCTGGCTATTAATGTAATTCCTCCCATCATGCTTAAAAAGAACTTGCAATTTCCTTTTAAAATTTCCTTCCTACTGTGACAAGTCGATTGATCTGTGATAAGGAGAAGATTTCAGTGCTGCTTTTTCTTCAGGAAGTGCTTTCTTAAGTCACATTGTTCTATTGCTGTCTTGAAGGAATTTCAGGTGTTCCCTATTGAGTACATTCCCTTTGTTATACATTAAAACTGCTCTTCTTCCAGCTGTCAGAACAAAGACATACCCAGAACAAAGGCAGCTGTCACTGATTGGCAACACCACCTGTATTTATGAAAACTGTGCTTATGGTGGAATACAGCCCCTCACTTTGGTTTTGTTTTCTCGTTATTTTACAAAAGTCACCTACCTAGTATTCATTCACAAAGATGTTTTATGGAGTTATGTTGTGTTACCAGTTTCTGCTTCCAAAAACCAAACAAATGAGAATGAGTTTTGATGTAGGTGTAGAAATACACATTTCACATGCTGAAATGAATGTTTGTATTCAGAGGTGTAAAATAACAGTGCTGAAACAGCTAATTCAACTGCATTATTCTATGTCCTATATGCCTGGCAGTTTCTTAAACAGCACTTTGAATATCATGCCTGCTTTCTCACAAGCAAGAGAGTGAAGCTACATTGTAATGCAGATTTACATTGACTTACAGCTGCAGCAGGATCTTCCCAAGCGGATAAATGTACCTCTCAACAGCTTTGCTGTGACCATCTGTATTACCTTGCAAGGGTCTGGGAGACAAGGGGAGAATGGGACCTGGAATAGAGAATGTGCTGAAAGACAGATGGGCAAGAAGTATTCATTTTGAAAACTGCTTTAGAATTACTGAATTTCTCTTATCGCATTTTGAATTATTTCCATTTGTGTTTAAAAGCACAAACATAAAGAATTAAAACAGTACAAAAATTGAAGAATCAATTTGGTGGATTTTGGATAGACTTCTTTTTTTATATGAGATAGATCAACCTTGTTTTTCTTTTTGCAAAATTATTTTTATTATTATTATTATTTAAATGCATATATTTAAAGTTAACTCCAATATTAATTAAAATTTATGCTAAAGCTCTCAGTGACATCAATAAGAATAAATTTTAGGTAATATAGCTTGCAGGCACTACCTTCCTCTATTTTTTAAGCCATGAAATTACCAGATCAGGAAATGTCAAAATGTATATTTTGATGTTCAATATATATGTAATAACAGCATCCGTACAGTCAATGAAAATGCTTATTGTGGCTCCACTTTGAAAGGATTTCTAGCTGCTTTCATTCTTAACGGTTTGTTGATTCTTGACTCAATGTCATTTTAAGAAGTGTGTAGAGCTGTTTAAAGCATTTAATTTTAATGCATTTTTGTCTGAAAAGGAATTTAAAATAAACATTAAGATTATACTTCTTAGGTATAGTGAGTGATGTTTGGCACCTCTTTTCTGATTCGTATCTGTACTTTCTTCAAGAATGTGTCCATGCCATGCAGCAACCCTTCTTTTAACTTAGGGAGGCTTTTCATTCTCATCTGAAATGGCAGTGTTCATCTTTGCATCAGCAGAACTGGGCTTTACAGGCTGAATGGTAAGGGTGCTGGAGAATCAGAGGTGGTAGCTAGGCTCCTGACAGAGATCTTGAAGCTAGAGATTTAAATAAATAGCAGTTAAATAAGATCCAAGTTAAGGCACAGCTTCCTTTGGAATGCAATAAAAAGAAAATATTATTTTGTCCTGGTGAGGTTAAGGAAATTGATATGTTTATGTAGGTGAGATAATAAAAATCAAAGTGCTCTTTGCATATTTTTGGTCCATTTGTAGGGCAAATAAATGTGCTATGAAAAGAAATAAATTTATATGTCTTTCAGGGTATAAGCAGTAGTGAGTGGAACAATTATGAAATGAAAGTATGGGTCTGGGCACAGCTATCTGTGTTAGACTGTAGAAACAGACATCATCTTAGAGCACAGCTCTCCCAGTAGTGCTCTTTTTTTTACTTGAAGTTGTACTCTGTACATGTTGTTCATTCTACACGTGTCTGCTGGATGAATCTGATGAAGAATCATCATCCAAAATTTGTTTCTCTTTGCTCTCGAATATGTTATCTATAAGCAGATTTATCAATGCAGCATAGCTAAACATAATTTTTCCTATGTGTATCTTTCATACTGCATTATGAAAGCGTATGTTTGATATGTCTAATGCTTCTATGTTCGTTGCAAAAGAAGGAGGAATGACAGTCTTGCATGTGAAGCAAATGCTTATCTTTAACTTAATTTGTTGAATTGAAAAACGATTATTGTGAGGCCAGAGCACAATTAGTGAGATTCTGTTCTCATCAGACTAATTTTTCTCGTGGGATCATTGTGGAATGAAGAACCTCTCCTACTACAGATAGCAAAAAAAAAAAAAAACCACTTCAGTGAAGTCCATTAAGTATCTTTAATTTCTCATTGTAAACAACTTAAAAATCAGATGTGATTTCTCAATTTTAAGATATTTCATCTGTACTAGGACCGGGAGCTGAGATACTATGGAGAAAGAAAATGTAAGGTCTTGACTACAAATAATGCAGAAGAGAACTCACCGAGTTATGGAAATTCCTCAGCCTGTTTCTAACCCTTACTGTTGTTCATGCACTTGGAATTATTGTCTTGACAGATCAAATTCATATTGAATTCCTTGGAGCAAAGATCAAGGCCAGGGCCAGGAGCAGGCTTACCCCAGCAGTCTAGCCAACTTCTTTACATGGCAGCCCAGTTTCATAGTCACGTGTTTCAGGCACTTACCTTGGAGCTGAAAGCTATGAATTTACATTGCTGTAGGTTAAAGAGGAGGAAGTGGAGTCAATCTTCTAATTTCTGCTGACGTTTCTAATCACAGGGTTTGGTCTTTCCCACTGTGTTTTGTCTAGATAGAGTTGGCAGGAGCATCAGTGGCTGTGTGAGTAAGGACTCACTTAGGCATTCAAGATATTGCAGTATTTAAGGGTTAGTTGTAAGCTTGAGTAAAGTACCTCTAGTTAGCCTCCATTCCCTTTTCAGCCTTCCTGTTGTACCCTAAATCCCTTCACTACTTTTCAAATGGTGTCCTCACTGCTTTCCTACCATGTACTGCTAAAATGAAATTACCACCTCATTCCCCATCTGTTTCCTCCATCTCACAACCAGCTGTAGTATTTACCTAGCCTTTCTCTCCCACATGTCTAGCCACATTCTGACGTCTGATTAATGCGAACTGCTTGCATCAAGGTAATAACTTTGATGTCAGATAAGCAAAATGTCTTGCTCTACACTGGAATGTAAAGGGACTCTTCCTTTGCTATGCAGTTAAATTAAATTGCTGGTGTGCTGTGATTAGTGCAGTGTTGTCTACCTGCTGTCTACCTTTGCTCAGAGCCTCTCTTAAGGAACTTCCTTGCAGTTCTAGCTTTATGAATCTGAATGCAACTGCTTGTGTACAAAATGCTGACATCAGTAATCTAACCAAGATGGCAGGGCCTTTGAGCATGTCTTCAGGCAAGACATGGCAATAATTATGGACTTTAAGGAGTATAAAGCATTTAAAGAGGAGGTTGTGGTTCTCTCATCTAGACAGGGAAGCCTTCTTGGTTCTCTGTCTCAATTTGTCTCGTATGTTATTAGCAATGTCTGCTTAATTAACTAAACCTCAAAAAATCACAATGCAGTCAGAAGGCCTATAATTATCAATACTTTCCCAGTGAGAGAATGTGTTGCTTAAGCTCCAGATCAAGTTGATGGTTGTGCAAGAGTTGAAGGTCAGAGTTTCACAGCTTCTTCTTTTCTTGCTACATGACTAGCCCATGCTTCAGGAGGCTTCTTAGTTGTTCACATGTTGGAGGGTGATGGGAGGAAAGAGATATGTATACTGAAAATGAAATTTTAATAGCTAAAATCTTTTACTTA